TCCCCAACCTCTCTGCCAAGATCCAGCTGGTTAGTTCTGTGTTGGTTTCAGATGGTGGAAGGACAGGGGAGAGTCCAGGTGCCTTGCAGATGATGAAACAACAGGAGAAATCCATGCCAGTCCATTCCGTGGCTCGAGGCATTCAGAGAGAAAACAAACACCTCGCCTCTCCCCCAGCCACCCAATTAGCCAAGGAGGGAGCCACACAACACTCATACCTGAGGAGCATCCATCCACCCAACCGATGGCTTACCATTACATGGGAGCAGGAGAGAGTAGGGGATAATGGACAGGGCATAGCCCCAGAAGCAGGGGAGGGTACAGTGTCTAACGCAAGAGTCCATAAAGACATGGACTAGGACAGGGAGAAGCAGCCGAACAGCAGCGCTGGGAACAGCTCTGGCCAGAGGAGAAGGAGACAGGGAGAAGGGTGGCATAGGCTGTCCTTGAAGAGGGGAAAGCCCACAACATCTAGGAGAAAGTATCAGAAAGTTATTGTAGTGGTAAAAAGCGCAGACAGGTACATTTGCAAGTCACTGGTGGGCAGGGTAAAGGCTGGTGTCCATTTCTATTGAGCAACCAGCCATGTACTGAAGGGGTCACGTGCTGCGTCTGCTTGGTATCCACTACTCTCTCACAGCTAGACACTTGCCAGCCTTCTGCTGAGACAATTCTTAATAAGATGGGTTGATGAGGTACTCATTTCAAGCTGTCCTGAATGCACACCTCCTTCCCTTGGGGTCAAAGACGACTTTCCGCACTGGACACGAAGCCCCTCCACCCTCCTCCCTGCACACAGGGCAGTTAGTGCTGCTGCCCAGAGCAGGCAACTGGGATCATCCCAGTCATCCAGGTGTATCTAGAGCTGGCTGTCTCAGCTCCCTCCACACTTCAGGGTGCCAGAGGGGCTGAAGAAGCCAAACTTAGAGCAGGGCCTTGGAAATCTCCCCCGGGATGCTGTTAGTAAGAGGGTAGTTAGGGCCTCCAAGGCATTCTTGGGAAATCTGAAAGAATTAATACATTTTGTGGGAGAAGAAAAAAAAAAAAAAAAATCCAAGTCTGGTGCAGGAGTCAAAGAAAACCAGTGAGTAAAAGTTGGGCAGATCAGCCAAGCATTAAGTGAACCCACTATAAAATAGAGGCTCCTTGGCGAAGGACTGTGTCCTTCTTATCCAGTGCAAGAGGGGATGGTCCGGCACGGTGCATTTTAGCTTGGCAAGGGAAGAATGACTGGTCCAGCTAGAAAAAATGAGGAGGCTCTAGTGAGCTGGAACATCTCTTTCCACAGTGGCATTCAGTCAGGTCTGCTTTTTCAAGAGAGCACAAAGGGAACCCTCACAGCCACTTGCAGGAAGCCAGGCAAGGAGCAAAGACCTTTCATCATCTGTTCCTCAGTCCCCCCTGCTCCACCCCACAAGACATTTTCCAGACTTTCCAGTCAGCCCTGAGATGTTGACTGGTGCACCAGCTTCATCAGCTCTCTGGCATGATCTCGCTGCATTCCCTCCCACCTTCAATGAGATAAGAGTCGGGAATGTCGTTCACACAAAGGGTGTTACTACTCAACTCTGGAAACCAAAGCAAACATCAGGACTGCCAGTCCCAAGGAAGGCATGGGATGACTTCCCTATGGGAGCAAAATTATTTTTCCTGGTGAAACATCAACTCTGAAAAGAGCTCCTTTCACGGTTGTTCTGGGGACAAACGAAGGAGGCTTCATCAGGGAGGGATCAGAGAAGGGAGCACTTGGCAGGGAGTTGCACTAACTCAGGTAATTTGAATGCTTCTGATTATCAGAGATGATTCACTTCTGTTCACTTTGCACCAAGTATTGTGAAAGACATTGCATTTATCTGCACTGACTCACTGTTTCACAACATGAGCTTAAGGTATCGTTACTACTATGACGATGGGAAGGCTTGGGCATCCAAAACCCTGACACCAGCTGGGGAAAGACTGCAAAGGATTTTGTTAAATCCAGACAAATCAGGAAATGTGATAAAAAACTCAACACTCTCCTTCTCTATTAAAGAGATGGTGTGAAAACCCTGAAAATAAAAATGCAGATGTTCTGAGACAGAAATATCCTCTTGTCTTCTTGAAAGACACCTGTCTCTGGAAAGATTGCTTTGATGGATGCATCCAGAGGGTAGTGGTCAATGGCTCAGTGTCCAGATGGAGGTTGGTGATAAGTGGTGTCCCTCAGGGGTCCGTATTGGGACCGGTACTGTTTAGTATCTTCATCAATGACATTGACAGTGGGTTTGAGTGCACCCTGAGCAAGTTTGCAGACAACACCAAGCGAAGTGGTGCAGTTGACACACCTGAGGGACAGGATGCCATCCAGAGGGACCTGGACAAGCTCAAGAAGTGGGCCCATGTAAACCTCATGAGGTTCAACAAGGCCAAGTGCAAGGTCCTGCACCTGGGTCAGGGCAACCCCCAGTAGCAATACAGGCTGGGGGATGAAGGGATTGAGAGCAGCCCTGCTGAGAAGGACTTGGGGGTACTGGTGAATGAAATGATGGACATGATCTGGCAATGTGCGCTTGGAGCCCAGAAGGCCAACCATACCCTGGGCTGCATCAAAAGAAGCGTGGCCAGCAGGTCGAGGGAGGTGATTCTGCCCCTTTGCTCTGCTCTGGTGAGACCCCACCTGGAGTACTGTGTCCAGCTCTGGAGTCCTCAGCACAGGAAAGACATGGACCTGTTGGAGCAGGTCAGAGGAGGACCACGAAAATGATCACAGGGATCATTTTCCTATGAAGAAAGGCTGAGAGAGCTGGGGTCCTTCAGCCTGGAGAAAAGAAGGCTTCAGGGAGACCTTATTGCGGCCTATCAGTACTTAAACGGGGCTTATAAGAAAAATGGGGACAGACTTTTTAGTAGGGCCTGTTGTGACAGGACAAGGGGTAATGGTTTTAAACTAAAAGAGGGTAGATTTAGACTAGATGTAAGGAAGAAATTTTTTACAATGAGGGTGGTGAAACACTGGAACAGGTTGCCCAGAGAGGTGGCAGATGCCCCATCCCTGGAAACATTCAAGGTCAGGTTGGACGGGGCTCTGAGCAACCTGCTCTAGTTGAAGATGTCCCTGCTCATTGCAGGGGGGTTGGACTAGATGGCCTTTAAAGGTCCCTTTCAACCCAAACTATTCTATAATTATATGATTTTATGATTTTTATCACCACAAGCTGAGTTTTGCTTGAGGAGAATCAGACTTACAAGGAACATACCGTTATTCATTAGTGCATAGAGTCACTTTAAATAAGCTTAAGGACAATTCTCAATCTCATACATCCTTGTTAGATGGAACACCTGGAGCTAAAAAATCACAGAAAGTCAAAGTTTATGGCAGGGACCATTTATATCAGCTGACCTAAAATTACAGCAAAGAACTCACCAAATTTGAGAGAGAGAGGTAGAAGTTAATGGCTGAATTAAAGACAGCACTTACGAAAAATCACAGGAATGAAGGAAAGGCAACACAGTTCTCTGTAGGTTTGTTATGGTGTTACTTATCAGGTACAATTAAGATGCTCTGAAATAATGGTTCTCACTGCTCAACCAGCACTGGTATTTACTGTCACTACTGTCAGAAGTGCTCAACACCCATAGAGGAGACAGGGTTTCTAAAGCATTGGCTTCCATTCAAGCATCTAAATTAATAGCCATGTTCAGCGGAAATCTGACTGCATTGGACGCTGTCTGAAAAAACTTCTTAGCTAAATTAAGTGTTTCTTTGCCAAAGGAGACACATTTTTAAAAAATTAAGAGGGAATGGAGTGGTAGAAAGGGGTACAACTTTACTCAATGAAGCGTTATTCCTCAGACTTCTCCCCAGCCATTGCCTTCCTCACGCCTCAGCAATACACAATGTCTTCTTGGTCAGGGAGAACATTCCCTCTCCAAGGTCCTATATCACAAGGTTAAAAGCCTGCAATTATTAGGTAATAGTTGTAAAGTGGTAGCACCTAGGTAATTGCAGCTTATGTAAGACTCTATACATACAGATATGCACCAGGAGCAGATCTTGGGAAATATGGTACGGTCCCTGGTAGGCAAAAAGGGCAGAAAGGAAGCAAATACAGTAAAGAGGACAACTTGACTAAGATCTCCAAGGCCCTCAGCAGTGGAGCCAGGAAGAGATGCTAGCGCTGCCAAATCCCTATATAGCACCCTACTTCTCCAGAAAAAAGTTCACCCCAGCTCACATTTTGTTGTGGACAAATGGCATGGCCCTAAATTAAATGACAGTGGGGAGCAAAGCATTGATTGTCCTATTAACTGAGTATCTGTGCAAGGTTGCTAAACAGGAGGTAAGAGATACGCATCGGACTCTGATGAATGAAACACAAAAAGATACAAGCACAATCACATGCTTATTGCTGTAAAGAGCTGAACTCTGTAATTATGATCTGTGGGGAAGTGTCTCAAAGAGAAAACAAGAAAGGAAATTGCAATGTGTCTATTTATTTCCATAGCTACTGTATGACTGAGAGCCACTCAGCAGCCTCTGCTATTTGTAGGAGGGTTTCCCAACAAAACATACCAGAGGCGCAGGAAAAGGGCTTGTGTATTGTTTTCTCAACACACAGCAACAACCTGACAGGTAGAGTTCCCCACCCTGTAGAGGGTGTAAAAGCATGCTTTCCTTAGAGACAGTGGGGCATAAATCACAAAGCCAGGCTCAGGGCAAGGAAAGAGAAGGAACGCACAAATGATTAGTAATACAGGAGGAAGCTGAGATTATTGTCAATATCTACTTCACCATTGCAGGGAGAAAGAGAGGTGATATGCTAGAACAAGCAGACTGGGAAGTGCCTGGTCTGCCAGGTACGATCTACTATCTCTCATGCTATCCATTTCCCAGATCTGCTAACCATGGGGGCTCAGGGTACACCAGACACCTGTGGTCTAAGAGCGTGCTGTTCACATTAATGGCTCTTGTATTATCACACAATCCTTAATAATGGAAAGGCACAACAGTCCAAACTTACCAGTCTCTCAACCCTCTCGCTCAGGTCTCTAAACCTTCCCGAGGACTGTCTGGACAATTCATTATTGTATCGGATGTTGGTGATTTTTACGTTGCCACTGTAATAGAACAGCTTCTGATCTGTAAGGGAAAGAAGAGGAACAGGCAATACTCTAAGCACCAAGACGAATGAACTTTAGAGAAACACCTGGGCCTGACCAATATCTAGGGAGTGGATTAGCCTTCACCTGTATCCAACCCATTCAAATACAGCTTACAAAAGCTAGAAGCCCAGGAGCGGGAGCTCAACTGAGTTAGGTGATCTAAGCCAAGTAGTGACAAAAACCCCAGTTTCCTGAACAGTTACATTTGTGGCCAACCAACAGCACTTTGAGCTCACACAGGATCACAAGCTGCAACTTGCTGGTCAGCTACCTTCCTTCCTGGCCTGTATGCCCAGTCAACGCCAAGCCCTGGCAGGCGGCTGCTGGTGATCAGGGCAAGGGAACAGAAAAACACTACAGGTAGAGACAAACGTAAGGCTCTGTTTGTCACTCACATAAGGGAGACCAGAAGACTTATGTGTTGACCTCATCACAGAAGTAGATCGTGAGGAAGATGTGAAGGGAGTGAAAGCAAGTGAAAGCCAACAGAAACCACAGCCCTAAAGCACCCTGCACAGCAGGAAGTGTTCCTAAGAAATCTGCAAAGGTGCTAAATGAGGAAGGAAAGAGAGCAATGATGAAAAAGCAAAAAAAAAAAAAGCAAACTCCCAGCATTGTGTGGCACAACAAGCACAAAGGAAATGCACTAAACATAGGAACAGTGGTATGTAAAACTTACCATACGCCAGAAAATAAACTAGGAGACCAATGGTGATAGCTGCTGCCACTGCTGTTCCAATGACAATGAGAGCAATTTTCCAGGGCTCAAGATGTCTTATTTTGATGGCTGGCTGATGAATTCTGGGGGAAAATAAGAAGAACAGAGGGAGAAGATTAATAAGAGATCATTTTCTATTTAAAATCCCCCCAAAATGAAGCTTAAGTTTTCTCCCTCAACATCAGCTGATTCTTCCCAGCAGTATTAATTGACTTCTCACCCAACACCCTTGAAAATGAAACCATGACTCAAGACTATTTTGAAATAGATGTTGGGAAATGCTAGAAATCACAGAACACAGACAGGGTTTGAGGGTTTGGGGTTTTTTTATTATTAGGGCCAAATTAAATAGGAGTCCCACTAAGCACTTTCTTATGTGACCCCCGACTGGAAATTTGCAAGAATAAAACTTGTTTTTCAGCTAGGTGCACTTTCATACAGAAATGTAGGCAGCTTTCAATTGGTTAAAAAAAAAAATCAGTTGTCACAGACACAGTGGCACCTTTGCTCCCAAAACTGCTTTGTGCAATAAAATTGGTAAAAAGCGTCCCATGCTTTGTATAGTACATATATATACATTATCCAAGCTGTTCAGTGCATTTCAGTCTGCAAAGCAGGGCTGGAGAAAAAAAGAGAAAGGTATTTCAGAGGGCCAGCCTGTGCTTCCTGTTTTACTCAGACTAAATCTAAAAGCAAAAGGCAAGCACTGCTTTAAGCAGTATTTGCTGAAGTGATGCCATGACAGGGAAGGGCAAGGACATGCGAGCAGACCAGGGAACATGGGTAGGAAGCCTCGCCAGATACTTCTGTCTGCCATGCTCTTAATTACACAGGTGCTAATCCAAATTAACTCAAGGGAAGTCAACAGTCAGTAGGTCAGTATTATAGTTAGACAAAAAACTGCCTGAAAAAGCTTACTTACAGCAAATTCTGCCTTTGGCTGTAAACTCAAAGACATCTGAAGATCCTTAAAGCCATTTTTCTATTATGTTATCAGCCATTACAAAATACAGAACAGCAAGCCACAATTTTTGGTAGAGTCCTTCATTCTAGAGCCAGCTACCTCACTCATGCAAACAGGCACATCTTCAGGTTAAGGTACAGCCTCCCCCAGGAAAGCAGGCTGCAGGGATCCTCTCCTGAGGGTATGAGGCATCTCAGTGAGTTCCCACATTCATAACAAAGTACGTATAGCTCGATTCCGGAACACATACCTCATGAGCCGTAAGTTTAAATACATTAAAATAAGTTGAAAATAATTGCAAGCAACCACTGCAGCTGCGTGCAGGAATGAGACAACAAGCACACTGTGCACTGTACATAAATATCAAAGCAGGTTCTGATATTTCATTCTAATTTCATTGTAAAGCCTTAAAATTACAGCCTTATTATTTTGGCTTGGAAAACAACTGACTGGGGCTAAATACCGTGGCATTTGATTGAGTGAAAATGAGAATACTCATTTGTCACTCATATCTGTTCTGACTTGTCCTGGATCTCCTAGCTAGAGTTTCCTTCACTCCTGCTATCCTCTAAAACAGATATTAATTAACCCCTCATCTCATCTGGCTTGCTTCAAAATGCATCTGTGAATCCAGAGCAGAAACAAACAAAAAAAAATAGAGAGAAATTAAACAGTCTTGTTAAGAGTTTGCAGATGAGCAGCTCCAAAGTTATTCCTGAGACTACTGTATTGAAGTTGCTTTACAAATTTAACTGGAGAAATGAAAGCTATGCAGGTAAAAATAGTCAGGACTCTACCTCATTAAGAAGAATATTTCTAAATAGTAGCTCTTAGGTGAAACCATAAAGTCAGTGGCAAGTTCAGCTTTAATTTGTGATGTGGGTTTGTTGGGGTTTTTTTCCCACCACTCCAGCTAGTAGTCCTTTGCACTGCTTATATGCTTTCCAAATGTTTCCACCATGTTTGAAGTGAGACTAAGTTACAAGAAAAGCCAACAAAACAAACAAAAACCCCACATTTAACTTGACACAACCTATTCATTCATTCTTGTAGATACTCTCATTTAAAAAGCAGTTGTCTTGATTAAGCTGCACAGAAGGAAAAACACTCAGAAGGTCTTTCAGCTACAATGATCCTGGCATAGCCCCAAACCAGAATGCTGGGTTTGAGAAGCCCATTTGAAAGGCTGAATGCCACCTCTACACCACAGTAGGTGAGCGTGAAAAAATTACTGCCTATCATATCCGTGAAAGAGCTGTTTCAGACCAGAAGTAACATGGCTGGGACACAGTTAAATATAGAGTACTAGATAATATGAAACCTTTTCAGCATCCTTTTGTACATAGTATAACACTTTTTATAACTCTTACTCTTTATTTCTTCCCTTCCAAGTTCCATGTTATCCTTTAGCAAACAGAAACCCCAATTCACAACAGTTACTCACACGTGTAATTTTACTCACACACGTGACTTTCACTTAATTCATGAAAACCTGTTCGAGAACATCATTTCAAAGAGGTGCAGATGGGACTCAGCATCAGCTTCTAAACTGACTTTCCTCAGACAAGAAGCTGTTTGATAAATACATTTTAGAAAGTCACTTAAAAGAGTGATGTCTTTTTTTTCTTCCTTTTTTTTCCTGAATAAACCTTCCCCCTTCCTTTTAAATAACAACATGAAATGACTGTTAAGGTTTACTCTCCACTCCTAATTTGTTTCAAAAACAAAAATTGGTTTTAAAAACAAAAGGTATTTTTGAGTAAAATGTCCTTGGGTAGGCTGTACCATCTGGATACTTCTCATTTGAACAGAAGTGCAGACTGAGCACACCAGGAGGATTTCAAATCCAGGTTTTCAAAGATATCTGTGAGACAAACCCATGAAGATTGCTGGGCTGATACTTTTCCATTCCCATTGACTTTGAGCGTAATTGCTGCTTTGCTCCGTCTACTGAGGTTCATTTCTCAAAGATCAATTATTTCATCTGACAACATGTCCTATTGTGTAAAGTTGGACAGTACTTAGAGGGATTCAATACACGCAAGAGAAGTAACTACCCCAGAACTGAAACAGCTTCGATCCACAAGATGACCCATCAGAGCTTGAATACTCTGCAGAGAGCTGATAAAAGTTCCACAGTGGAAATTTATTTTCTCACATCAAGAGTCAAGCAGTCCCTGCTAACTCCTTGGGAGCTATCTGCTCAACAGAGAGGGAACAGGGAGTGTAACTTAGAAATGCACAGCAGGATTAAAGACACTCCAGTTGAGAAGGTCACTGAAATCCTCCATAGTGGAAACAGAGATTTTAAGCCTGAACCAAATACCAGCTGAAAGCCTCCCACTGACCTCAGCGGGCTTTCTGTCGGGGTCCCTTCTGCCTGCAGCCTGCGTGGTCCTCCCCTTTACCCCAGAGATTCTGCTCTTTCCCCGACAATCATGCCCGCACAGTAATCTTAAACATACTGCAATCAGGGACTGGATTTCATCTCTCGGCAGAAGACTGCCAAGTCTGAGATTAAGATTCGTCCAACTGGGAAATATTTGCTGGCAAAGAGAAGCAACAAAAACTGATATAAAATTGCCCACACTGACATAACAATTTTACTTGGTTGTCCTCTCTCTTTGTTTCCTAATAATTCCTAACACTGTCTTGGCTTTTTCAACTGGCATTCAGCTGGCATTTTCCTAGAAATACCCACTGAGACCTTTCTGAGTGGTGGTAGGTGATTTGGAGCCCTGCATTCTGTACTTGGGTTCCCCCCATCATGAGCACAAAGAAGCCCCCAGGAACCCTTTCCTCAACAAGGAGCTCACACCAATAAACACAGAGCCAGAGGGATCCCTCCCCTTATGCATTTTACAAGGCAGACATAAGAAGGACACAGCTAATTATGTCTGTTGACTTTTAGTAACAGAGGAGTATCGGGGGGAAAAAAAGTCAGTCTCAAAGAAAAATTAAACATCTTACCTAATATCCTAACTTTTTTTTTTTAAGGGTGCCATTCAATAAACTTATCATAAACATCACATTAAATAAATCATGCATGCACTTTCCTCACTGCAGCCTGAAACTTTACAAAAGAAATTAGTGTCTTTTACCTATTGGAATTTAGATTCACTTCTTGCAAAGAAGCAGAATTAAAACTGCCTTCTACGAGTCAAACCACTTCAGAGTGAAAAGCCTCAAAGGTCTTCCTCACCAGGGCAGAAAGCACGCTTTGACACCTGTGGGAACCCCTCCATTACCTGCAGTGAGCTTCGTATCAGAGACAGTGTCTAGCTAAGTCAGCATGCACCATGAAAGAGAACACAGGCTCTGCTTTGGCATGCATGCACTGACAGTGTCTGCTCAAGAAAGGTGCTGACAGGACAGCCTAACTGCCAAACCCAAAACAGTCACCTAGAGATGATCTCTTGTGGGCTATTAAGTGTCCTTTGTTTTCAGTCCTGTAAGAGAGGCATGCTTAGACAGACAAATTTTCTCCACAGTTTTAGAATACGTGCGGTACTTCTCTCTTATTAAGGTGCTTTGAGAAAAAAAAAATTTATAAAACCCACTGTATAAGCCTTAGCAACAATTGTAATATATAAATACACACATAATAGGACAGTGATGGTGTTTTAATCTGTTTACTGAAATAAATCTGTTTACTGGTATATGAAATGTCACTGTAAAACAACTACACTTACATCACTCCTGAAGAGTTCTGCAAGTCTGATACAACAGACCAGCCCTTCTGCTTTCATGATAGTTTGCATGCACCTGTGACAGCTTATATCCACTGAGAATCTGACCCAAAGTATCCAGCTTTTCCTGTAGTTTGGCAGCTTACGTTTCTGGCTGAATAATAAGTTTTCCTGTATTTTATACTTTATATATAATAAACAATTGCTAGGCTGGGTAAACAAACAGTGAGATGCTGTAATCTAGCAATGTATTTTCACTGAACAGAGATGGACAAATTTCTTCATGGGAGAAATGCTGCTGAAATTAGAGAAGGCTCCTTAGACAAGAGGTTCAGCTGAGGCTCTGAAACCCCAGGCAATTCTCCAGTGGCAGAGAAACTGGACAATCCCCATGTTCAGTGCTGTATGAAATCTGTCCCCCTGTTATCATCAAATCTGTCCACAAACCACATGAAGTTTTCAGATTGCCTTGTATCAGAAGCATGTCAAATTAAGCCATCCCAAGCTTTATGTGAGTTTGACTTCATTCAGAATGAAGATGTCCGTGTAACCAGAAATACAGACATGGAAGGAGTATGTGAAGGAAGCAGAATGACTTGATTTTAAAAGCTTATGCTGACCAAAATGCCCAATCATAAAGCTGTCTGAAAAACATTAATAAAGTGAGGCACTTCTGCAACACCCTCTAGCAGGAACAGCAGAGGCCAGAAAAGCTGCTGGATTTACACTGGGGCTTGCTCAGTTAATGAAGATGACTAGATTTTAAGGCTCAGGAGGAGGTCCTTTCTCATTCTGGTTTTCCTGTCTAAAATGGTCAGAAACTGAGTGAATGTGGCAAGGAAACACAAATGGTACCAATTCCATACAAGTCAAATCAGGCGTGGTGCGTACCAGAATCAAAGGTATTTCACTAGGGTTTCCTGGAATCAGGATCTACTCTGGGGCAAACTGAGCAGAATAGGTTTCTGTTTGGTACCATGCAGGAACCACATCTGCCTCCTGCAATAATCAAGGTTAACTCCCACTAATGCCAACGGGACATGAGTGTCCTTGCACCAGGGCTGGTATCCATTTCCTGCTACACCTCAGCAGTCTGTAATTTACACTCATTTTGCCCACCTACTGCATGACAAATTGATGCAAGTGGCACTGCATTTCCACCTACATATTCACTTTTAGACTACCATATACAACACCAGCTACTCTGTACCTCACCCTGCCAGGGCACAAGATCTTCACAAGGAAGTTGCAGGTAGGACACTGCATTTGCTCCCGAGACTGCAGGACACAGCACAACAGAGGAGGGATTAGACCAGCAAGGATGTCTCCTCCACCCAGTTTTCCTTAGCAGCTTTGCTTCCTGAAGGATTTTATGGAGCACACGTTCCAACTTAGCTTGAAGTGTTGTGAAAAGAGGCATCTTGGAAGTGGATAAAGCTAATTCTGAAGCATTGCTCTTTTAGGAGACTAAGGCACAGCATGATGAGCTCAAATAGCAAGGCTTACAGCTCCATGCTAAGATCTACATCCCTGCCCAGCAAAGAACTCTGGACATTTAACAGGCTA